TATGACCTTGAGTGTATCCCAACCTGAATTTAGAGACCATCTCAAGAATACTAAAGAATAGATTTGATCTGTTGAACACTAATGACTGAAGACCAGAGGAGCTGTGGAATGACATCAAGGACATCATACATGAAGAAAGCAAGAGGTCATTAAAAAATGAAAGTGAAAGAAAGAAAAGACCAAAATGGATGTTAGAAGAAACTCTGAAACTTGCTCTTGAATGTCGAGTATATGTGTATTTATATCTCACCAAAAAGTATGTGTGTGTATGAAATATTTACTTACCCTTCAGGCTTTTTCTTTAATACGTAGTTTTCAGGAATGTATTGGAAGTTAAAATGGGGATTTCCTGTGACAATAAATCAGGTAGGTCCACAAATTCTCTCTTTGTGATTCTCCTTTTTGTCATCCCCATGCTAACCAACTCTCTTCCATGCCCCAAATACCAGTTCTATCATTACCAGAACCTTGACTCTGTGGACCTCAGTTTCCTCATCTATAAAAAAGGAGACTGAACCAGATTCTCTAGGTGACTGCACCAGATTCTCTAGGTGACTGCCTATGTGAATATGCTATAACTAAAGGAAATGATCTATAATGCTTCGTTGGTTCAGAGAATATTAAACATGCATATTGAAAATAATTTATATAATAAAGATGGTGATGATAAGTAATATTTAATTAGTGTTGTCATTGTGTCAAGCACTGTGCTTTATACATATAATTCCATTTAACCCCTACAATAATTCCATGGATTTTATAATTATTTTTAATTGCAGCTGTTAAAACATGAACTTCAACTGAGAAAATGGAAAACTAAGTCAAAATCAAAATTATTTACTGAAGAAGAACAAATGTTTCTTCAAGGAAGTTCATCTGAATGCTCTCTAGTAGGTGAGAGTCTTCCATGTGACATTTCACTGTTACCTGAAAGAGCAATATTACAGGTTTGTATGATTTGTATGTCTTAACCAGTTCTTTTCACAGTGTTTGTTTAAAGAGGGGTTTTATGAACCTTACATGAGTGATAGAAGGTATATTTCAAATATATATATATATATATGTATTTTTTATTGTTCTTCAAGTGAAAGTTTACAGTTCAAGTCAGTTTCTCATACAAAAATTTATAGACACATTGCTATGTGACCCTCGCTGCTCTCCCCATAATGTGACAGTACACTCCTCCTTTCCACCCCCGATTTCCCGTGTCCATTCAACCATCTTCTGCCCCTTTTTGCCTTTTCATCTCACCTCAGGAAAGAAGCTGCCCATTTAGTCTCATGTATCTACCTGAGCTAAGAAGTACTCTCTTCACGAGTATCATTTTATGTCCCATAGTCCAGTCTAATCTTTGTCTGAAGAGTTGACCTTGGGAATGGTTTCCTTTCTGGGCTAACAGAGAGTCCAGGAGCCATGTTAT